GTTTTGTCTCTGATATTTGATAGTTTAGACTTGTCCAATCTGAAGATGGCCCACTCTATCCCTCACTGGATCTATGACCTTCCTGATGCCACTATGTCCTAAATTGATGCAAATAGGTCTCTTTACAAGTCACCCAGCTATAAAAACTTCTTTATTAAACATACTCCCTTGATTGAATAACTGGACATGTTCAACAACTACGTGGCCCAGCTGTAGTAAGTGACTCATTCAGAAAAGGTTGATCACTGATAAATGACTGATATAAAGGATAGTGATGGAGAAAGATTAGGCATAAGTCCAGTCATTTATTTATTTATTTATTTTTAGCTGTTGCCTATAGGGCATGTGCATTCATCAGAGAGAGAGAGAGAGAGAGAGAGAGAGAGAGGGAAAGTTAGAAATCATACCCAAGGGGGATAGCCCCACTGCAATCCCTTTTCCTCCAGTCTCCTCTCAGGGTTTTGGGCACACATTCACATGGGCCCAGTGTGATTCTCTAGGACTCGAACCATGGAGTCAATTTGTGGGATCCAGCACCTTAACTTCTATGCCACCTGGTGGCCTACAAGTCCTACCTTTAAGAGCCATAGGCTAAAGAATTTTCAGACAATACTGAGATTTATAACTTTTGTATTAGTTAACTTGTCATGTTACTCAAACCTGCACTTTATTTGAAGCTGAGTTCTTAGTCTGAAACAAATTACACTATTATAGCAATATTTCAATGGAGAAATAAAATCTGCTTATAATAAGGTTTCTAGAGATCCATTGTGACAAAATATAGGGACTGCCTATAACATCTCAGGACAGGGAAGATTTATGTCTATTTTTCAATTCTTTCACTCAAGGAAGTAGATTAACGAATAATTCATTTACCTGGAGATAGAAAGATGAAGAAACTTTCACATTTTTTACTCTTAAATCTTAAACTGACTAGAGAAAGTCTTGGAATATATCTCAATAAACATGTCATGAAAAGACTTGACTTATGCTTTTTTAAAATCTCAATTTGTATTCCCAGCTTCTTCTCTGTCCTGATTTCCAAAATTGGCTATCATATCTAAAATTATGCTTCACTCAAATGTCTAAAAATGTCATAGTTTTAAATAGACTGGATAAATTAACATTCTGAAGACATTTTGCTTCGAATGTTAAGAGGAACACCTAAGAATCTGGATGGAATTCTAATGCATTTCCATACAAGATATTCATAGGTTAGCATATGATCAATGAGGACAATACTTACAGTTTCTTTCTTGTGACTGTGCAGTGCCTAATCAGTCATATTAATTGCATTTCAGACTCATCAGACCTTCCTTACTGTGGAGAAATATGAGGCCACTTCAGCATCATGGCAGATAGTGTGCAATGATGCCTCCTGGGAGACTCGGTAAGCATGTCTATTGAATATTTTGTCTTTCAAGCCTTGAAAACAGTTGGTTAGTAATGTAAGGAAAACAAACTGAAAGACTGGCTCAATACATGGCATTCATATCAAATTCCCAAGGAGCCTTCTGGCCATAGTTACTTGATTTATTAGACTTCAGTGTGATTCTATTTTCCTACAAAATAGTACACAAAATAGTGTGTGCTTGTGAATGATTCAGTACTAATGAGGTTATAGCTTCTATTCTTTATTTTTTTGGAGAGGTTTACACTATAGGGTGCATGCACTCACCAGACAGACAGAGACAGAGAGACAGAAAGTGAGAAATCACCCCAAGGGGGGATGGCCATGCCGCAATCCCTTCTCCTCCATTCTCCTCTCAGGATCTTGGGCACACACGCACACGCAACCGGTGTAAGTTTTAAGCCATCGGGTCCAGGACGGGAACCACAGTCAACTACATGGGAGTCCAGCGACATAGCCATTACACTAACTGCTGGTCCTGGTTATAGCTTCTACTCTTATAGACATCTGTTAGTCTGGTTAGTTTGTTTGTTTTAATGATCACAGGTATTACTGCTTAAAGATGACTATCCTTGCTGTAAATTGGTTGAAAGGAGATTGGATGAGGGAACTGAGACGTCTATGCAGAACTTGACAGTACTATTGGGACAATAACGAGTCTCTACCTGACGTGTAGTAGGTGTTTCTATATGGCTGACAGTTCTCCCTCTGAATTAACAAAACATCAGAGACTTGAGTGTTTAACTCGTCTTGACTTAAGTGAGGAGGTAACATGTCTGAACAGTTTCTTCAGAGAGATACATCTCAGTGTCTTTTGTAATCCTTCAGCTGCAAAGATATTGTAATTCTTTAGCTGGAAGGTTTGACAATATGCCTAAAATAAGGAAATATTTCTGCTCCCAAGTCTCTGAATTTCACACCACAAGACAATGTCATGGAGGTAGGTAAAGTTTATGGCAGTTTGTGTCTGATATGGATTGCTTCAAACCACGTGAGTTTTTGTATGTTAGTTTGGTTCTGATGGTTAACTGGAAATGGGAATTCGACCAAGTTATGGACTATTTGGTAACCATGTGTAAATATAGACACACTTTATGTTTGGTCCTTAGGACTAATCTAGAGAATAGATGATTTCTATATAAATAGTACACAGTATAAAAACAAAGTTATATAGATTTAGAAAAAAAGGATGATTTTCAAAAGCTTAAAAACAGCAGTATCATTAAATATTTATTGAGAGCACTGTGTTTATCCCTAAGACATGTAGCATGCTGAGCACAACCTCTGTGCCCAAGGGACTTGCCTTCTCTGTAGCCGGAGGTATCAGTCAGTTAGTTCATGGTATCTCACTGTGTCTAGAAGAGATCTGTACTCCCTTATGTGGTCTACAGGGACCAGTATGATCTGACTCCATCTGCTTGTCTCATGTCAACCACTCTTTCATTACTCCCTGTACCTATTGACTTGCTTTCTGGATTTTGGCCATAACAAATTTGTTCCTGCTTTGAACACTTGGTGTTCTCTGTTCCTTCTTCGTACAATGTTCTTCCTCCAGTTTTTTGTGAACTCTGTTTAAATAAGCATCTCTTTAGAAATGCGTCTGTTGTGATTTCCCAATTACATTTATCATTCTTTTTTTTTTTTTGACATTTGTACTATAGGGTGAATGTGCTCACCAGAAAGACAGAGAGAGATAAAGAAACAGGAAGGGAGAAATCACTTCCAGGGTGAATGGCCACACCACAATCCCTTCTCTTCCATTTTCTTCTTGGGATTTTGGGCACACGTGCATATACACCTGGTGTGAGTTTCAAGCTCCTGGGTCTGCGACTCAATCCATGGTTGGCCATGGGATTTCAGTGCCTTGACCACTATATCACCTGCTGGTCCCACATCTATCATTCTTAGGATTTTTAAATATATTGGTTTACTTGTTTGTGGCCTTTATTTCCATCCCTACCCCAGTAGAACATAAGCTTCACAAAACCTTGACCATGTCTATCTTGCACACAATTGTATCCTCAGTACTTCTAGAATAGTCTGGCATATATGCTCATTAACTGTATATTTTTAACAAATTAATCTCAATGTGAAAAAATGTATCAGTTGATAGAAAATATGATGAGGGACTAAAAGGATGCTTTAGCAGTCCCACAGCAGGAGACATCCTGTGTTCTGAATGTCAGGTAAGACTTCCCGGGATGGATAGAGTTGAGATAGAAAGGTAGAACAAGCCCTCTGCTTCCACCCCCCCAAATTGTACAAATGGTGATTTTTAAAAATTCTTCTGGAAAATAGCTACCTTTTTTCTGTTTTATTGATTGCTATATGTCTAGAATAGTGCTTTGCTTGTTATTGGTATTCCATGAATCTTCATTGGATGACTAATCACACATTTTTTGCCATAAATTTTTTATA